TGCCTATATTTATAGGTTTAGTATTAAGGTAGCAGAAGGACATTGGGCCTCCACTCAAGTACTCCCTCAATGCAAGAATACTTTGTTCTATTAAATTGGGTCCTTTTTCTTACAGGCAAAAGAGCAGCGGGGATTGGCCCGGGGAGAGTAGCTTCCCTTGGGAGGGAAAGTAGACATCACCTCCCCTCCCCCAACACCCCCCCAGAGAAGAACCTCCCCCACGAACATAAGAACTCCCTTAAGATCAGGTTGAGGATGAAATGAGGAGTAAAATAGCTATGGAAGGCCTGCCCTTGACAAAGTGCTTCAATGTCCAGGTCGTCCCAGCACTGACAACAGTGGCAACACCCAGTCCTGACAACAGAAAGCAGTGAGGGCAGAGCCAACCACAGCCGAGAGGCCAGAGCTTCAGGGCCTCCTCTGTCTGTATACAGCGGGGCAGCTGGTCTAATCTGAACAGGTGACCCCTTGAAAGAAATGACATTCCTCATTTCATTTGATGAGGAATTTGAACTTTCCTTCCAGAAGAAATTCATACATTTTAGAAGAATATATATTTGATCGGAGATAGATTTATTGACAATATCTTAAATACATGTTATAAAAATGTTTGACTACTAACCTTTAGTAACATTTCTCTTAATATTTTTCATTCTCTCAAGCTTAGACGCTGCTCCATCTCTTTGCTTTCTCTTTCTCTCTGAAGGGCCCTTGAGTCAGAAGCCACTCTTCAGCAAGGGTAGGAGGGACTTTCATCTCTCTCTTCTGGCTCATTTGCCTGTGAGGTCCAGGGAATCAAAGGGCCATAAATGCCATTTTAGCCAGAGTGAAGAAATAGGTCCCTTCCGTGAGTCAATTTCTGCCATTTTTCCAAAATATCAAATGCCCACTGCCATCTAGTCAACTCTGAGTGCACCACTCTGTAGGACAGAGCACAGTGGCTCTAAAGAGCTCCCAGGACGGTCAACCTTGGTGGGTTCACACAGCCTCACCTTTCTCCTGAGGCGAACCCCCAGTCTTGCATGCTGCTTAACCTACTGCGCTACCTGGGCTCCTTTTTTTAACTAAATACTTTTACTGGGGGCCCTTACAGCTCCTATCACAATCCATACATTCAGCCATTGTG